GGTCGAGCAGGGCGAGGCGATCGCCGGCGACGCCGTGGGCGGCGACGACGCGCCGCCCGGCGCGCCGCGGCTCCCCGCGACCGCGCCGGAGCACTGGCTGCTCGCCGCGGCGCGGCCGGCGCGCAGCACGGCCGACGACGAGGCGGAGGCCGCGGCGGCGGCCCGGGCGCGCTGGCTCGAGCTGCGCGGGAAGCAGGGCGGGCCCGACCAGGCGAGCGCCCCCGCCACGCCCGCGGCGATGGCGGCGACCACCCCGGCCGAGACGGAGGAGGCGGAGGGCGGCGGCCCCACCGCGCCGTGGCCGCCGGCGCCGCCCGCCGCGGCGTCGATGGGGGCGCCGGGCGGGAGACGGTGAGCAGCTTTGGGTTTCGCGAGCGTAGCGCGCACGCAGCACGCAGCACGGTAGCCGGTAGTCCGTCGGGTAGCGACGCAAGAGGGGTCCAGAAGATACAGTGCGTTCTGGTTCCGCTCGATGTAACAGAAAGAGTTTTTGTCCGACGAATCGCGACTCCACGGACCACACCGCACACCCCGGCCCACGCACGGCGCGCCGCGCGCGCGCGGCGCCGAGGGCCCGAGGCCACGGGCCACGCCGCGCACCGGCCAAAACGCCAACGCAAGGGGTCTTGTCTGTGATCTGTGATCCGTGAGGGTCGGCCCGCAGGCGTCTTGTCTGTTGCCTCTTCGTGAGAAGGTCGTCCGATAGACCCCGCCGATAAAAAGCCGTACCGTGTGGAGAAGCCCATAAGCCATATATTACAGGACAGGCACCTTTAGACCTTTTGTGCATTGACCATTGTGGTGACCACTTAGAGTCCTTACACTCCCCGCAGTTCGCACCTGCCACCTCTTTTGAGCGACACTACGTTTCCGCAGCTGGGGATTCTCCGGGCTTCCCTCTTTTACCCGTGCTGGCCGGATTCCTCCTCTGAACAACTCAAGTCTCAAGAGAAGTTCGATCGGCCCCAGTCTCGAACACTGGCAGAGAAAGAAGGCAGAGCCGGTCTCAATCTCATCTTACCGGAGGTGCCGTACCAATTTCCGCGAAGAGGCCACTGGCCAAAAGCGCATGTCTTGAAGGTCCGACACTGCTAGCCCATAGGGCCCTTACAATTTTCCACCCGTCCAGAATTCGGAGCACGAACCGGGACCACCGAGTCACGGATCGCTGGTCGAGCGACCCGGGGGATGCCCCGCGCGCCTCACCCAGGCGCGAGAAACGAACGATCTGCGAGGCGTGGCTGCTCATGCGGCCCGATGGGGAGGAGTGGGGCGGACTACGGGGATCGGCCTCTTACACCGCCCTTCCCTGCAGCGAGCCCCCCTCCAACCCACCCACGCTAGGTCTCGGGGGACGCAGGGGTCACACCCGAAGACCTCGAGAACTAGTCGGGGCAGTCGGAGAAGGGGCAACTCCGTGCACTGACGGTCCGCCGTCAGAAAACACGCCTGCGTGGATCGCGTCACACCAATCCTCGCTACGCAACGCAACCAAAGGATATCCACCTCGAGAACCTCGAGAGTCCCGCGCTTGCTTTTTACTTATCGAGAACGACCTTGGGGGACCCCTAGACTTAAAAGTGGGTGGGCCCTGGGGCGCCTGCGGCTTAAACGGCTTAAAACGGCCCGTTTTAAGGCTGCCTGGGCCGCCGACTCCTTGAACGGTCTTTTAACGGCAATATTGGAGAAAACGGCGCGGAATGCAGCGACCGTGCCGGTGAGGCCGATTTTCTTAAACGGTCTTAAAAAAACTCCGGACTCAGAACCCTAGGGGTACCCTAAAAGAGGGGCCGATTTTCTTAAAACCCTAGTGGGTGGATAACCTGTCAGACAGGCGGTCTCGCGGAATCTCGCGTTGACACAACCGCGGTGCGCGCCCTGTAGGTCGCCAGACCAAACCGCGCCGGCCTGGCCATGCCCGCATAGTGGACATTGACGGGTCCGGTCGGTTCCGCGCACGCTCATCGCCCGGATCGGCTGCGCCGCGCTGCTCTCGACGGCCTCTCGAGCGGGCGCAGCGCACACGCGGCACGGCGAAGGAGGGCGCGATACTCCACCGGTTCTTCGGCCGTCTGCCTCGGCGCACGACCCGCGGGGCACGTGCGCGCCTCGAGAAGCTCCGCCGCCCCGCCCGGTGCTGCCCACCCGCCTTCGGTGGCACCCGCCGACGCGCAGGCGCTCGCGCCGGGTGCGGCTCCTCGGCGACGTCGAGCGTGGTGCCCGACGGCTCAGGAGCCTTCTACCATCAACCACTACCACGGCCGCCACCGTCGGCGCCTTCGCTCGAGCTCTCCGAGGCCGCGTTCTGACCTCGTGCCGCGGCTGTCGTCGCTGCAGCAGCGACGAGGGCCGCGGCAAGGGGTGCAGCGGCGACGGGCGGGGCGGAGAGGCGCGGCCAGCTACCGGGCTGTTGCCCCCGCCTACCGCGTCGGGCCCCTGCACCCGGAGGCGGCTTGCGGCAGCCTTCCCGTGTCTCCGTGCGACCCGATGGGGTAGCCGGCCAAAACGCGCGCGTCTGTGAGATTTCCGGACTTTGAGTGTGCACCGCGGGAAATATCAAAGTGAGAGTGTACCAAAGTTAGTAGGTCATTTTGAAGGGTTGGTATAGGCCTTTCACTGGTGGGTAGCCCGGGCGTCGCGCGGTACGCGCCGGGCCGTCAGCGCCTTTCGAAAACAGCGACACTATCCACCTACTAGGGGTTTACGGTCTTAGACCAGCACGGCGTTTCACCTTGTCACTCCTTGCGTTGAGCACCTGTGTCCCATGCAAGCCGTCGGCATCGTCGTGTCGGCAGAGTACTGCCCGATCGCGGCTCTTCTCGGTGATAGCATCGACGACTCGTCGGTCATCGGCGGCTGCGCGTCTCCTCCTTCCCGCCTCGCCCTCGCCACGCTCGACGTGGACTTGCACTGCAGGGCCGCGATTGATGCTGAAGCTGTGACTTCTCCGCGTCCGTCAAAGCGCGTGTGCCGCGGCCTGGAGACGCCCTCGAGCCCGCAGCTCTCGCAGATGGCCCTTCTGCTAAACAGCGATATCGGGCCGGGCCTCCTCAAAACCCTCTTCTTGAAAGCGGCGCCGCCGCCTCTGCCGCCGATCCAGATCAAGCTGGGGGCTCACCCGGCGCCCAGCGGGTCGCGAAAGGACAAGCCGCAGCGATGCTCGCGATGCGGCGGCCTCGGCCATAAGGCGAGGACCTGCAAGCACAGCAGCTCAGGCGTGACCGCCGGTGTGTAGCCACCCTCTGAACTAAAAATAAGACGGGTCTCGCTAGGACCCTCGCCTCCAGTGCCTCCAATCAAGTCGCACCTCTCTTCTTCAGCGAATGCAGCGGCAGCACCACGTGCACGTCAGAGGCCGGGCCGACTGGCGGACCTGCATGCCCAGCCATGCCCCCCACTCCCCACACCCGCTTGGATCGATCAGCTGACAGCTCCATCAGCTCCCACCACCGCGTGTCGTGTCATGAAGCATGATAGATAGACATAGACATACAAACAAACGTACGTGTTAGATTTGTTTGGTATTGCTAAAAATCTCTCTCTAGACATATAGAAAGCATGAACCATCGAAAGAGGTCTGATCTCCAAAAAGAACTCTCGGCTCGCCGCGCGCGCCCGCGCCCCGCCCCTTTTGCGCAGCAACACCTTAAACTTCATGGCCCTCCAAATTCGGGTCGGAGCGTAGCGGAGACCGGAGTGGGACCCGAGTTTGAAAAAGGCGACGGACGCTTGCGTCCTAGCCTCCAACAACGCCTCCCCGGCGCAGAGGGGCCCCCGGAGGGATGCTCAACCGCCCCACGCCACGCCGCTTGCGGCGGTCCTATTCCCAGTTCGGGGCCACTTCTTATTTTTGCCTTGGAATAATTCTTATTTTGTTAAATTCTTATTTTTGCAAAGGAGGAGAGTTGGGACGCGACCAGCGCTCGCTCTTCGCCGCCGTGCCTCTCTACCGCCGCGCCTCTCCAGCGGAGCAAAATGGGCGCCCTGATCTCCGCCCCAGTCGCGTGCATCGGAGGGATGTGCGCGTCGTGCGTCGGCTCGTGCGCCGTCGGCGCGCTGTGCAAGTGCTGCACATGCCGCTGCCTCGCCTCGCCGTTCAAGACGAACGTGCTCTACTGCCTGATCCTCTTCGTTGCCACCACCGTCGCCCTGGTCCTCCGATACTCTGAGCAGGACATGGCGGTCGACACCTGGTCTACTCCCGGCTCGGCGTCATACACCCTCTGCGAGGGCGGCCGGTGCGAGGGCAACTGGGCAGTCTTCCGCATCTCGTTCACTCTCTCCTGCCTCTTTCTGACGATGCTGTTCCTGACGTGCAGCGAGTCCAAGGCGGCTGTGTTTGCGCACCGCGGCTTCTGGCTCGCCAAGGTCATCGGCGTCATCGCTGTCGGTGCCACCACCGTCTTCATGCCCAACGACGCGTTCGCCTACTACGCTTGGATTGCCCGCTTCGTCGCGCCCGGCTTTCTCGTGTACCAGGTGATCTCGCTGATTGGATTCGGCTACTCCGCCAACACGGCCATGGTGGAGCGCGACGATCAGGCACCGCCCGCGCCGCTCCTCTGCATCAGCAACTCGGGCGGCAACGTCTGGAAGGTGGCCAACCTGCTGCTCTGCCTCCTCCTCTACGTGGGCATCCTGACGGGCATCGGCCTGCTGTACGACCGCTTCCCGCAGAGCGGCTGCTCCTTCAACCCGCTGGCTGTCACCACCACGCTCCTGCTCGTCCTCCTCAACACCGCCCTCTCCGTCTCGAGCATCGCGCCGCACGCCGCCCTCCTCACCTCCGCCCTCGTCTCCGCTTACGGCACGTGGGTCTGCTACGGCGCGATGGCTGCGATGCCGTACGCCGAGTGCAACCCGCTCGCAAATAGCCCGGGCTTCGTCTCCTCCGTGGTCTCGATCTGCATCGCCACCGGCACCGTCGCCTTCCTCACCTTCAGCGCCGGCCGCCGCGAGACGGCGAAAATGAGCGCCAAGGAGGTGGCGACGAATGCGGGCCAGCTGGCGCCGGCGCCGGCTGCGGCGCCCGCAGCGGCGGACGCGGTCACCGTGAAGGTGGAGGGCGAGGAGGCCCGCGAGGACCCGCTCGATGAGGTGGCGCCACAGTCGTACCGCGGCTACTACTTTGTCATGCTGCTCCTCTCCTTTTACCTGGCCATGCTGCTGTCCAACTGGGGCACCGCCGCCGATGGCGAGGCCGACGCCGAGCTGCTGAACGGGTCGTACAACGCCTCGCTCGCGTCGGCCTGGGTGCAGCTGACGTCGGGCTGGCTGTGTGCGCTGCTCTACCTATGGACGCTCGTCGCGCCGCGGCTGCTGCCCGACCGCGACTTTAGCGTTTGAAGCGAGCTGCGTCCTGCGACGTGCGAGCAGCGAGGCCCGGCGGCTGGACCTGTGAGCGCCTTTAGCCTGGGATCAGGATAGTTTTTAGAGCACTGGACACTGGTTCCTATCCTTAGCTCCTTCAGATTACTGTGCGTTTCAGATAACGATTAACGTCAGACCATATTTGCTACATATGTTGAGTAAACACAACCAAACATTCATCATTCAACCGTGGCCGCGCACGCACGTGTGTGTGTACGCACAAACTCGCACATGGCTGACCGTCACCCACGGCCGAGCAACTCGCCTCTCGGTCTCGCGGCGCGGGAGACACCGACCGGCAGACGCAGTCCGCACGAGAGAGACTGGCGACACGCATGTGCCGCAAGGCGCAAGCGCATCGCGGCTCAAGCCATGGCCATTGGCCGACAGGTCCACCTTCGAGTCCTTCTCTCACACGCGGTAGCCGCTTCACAGCATCAGGGCTTCTTGTCCCCTCCCCGCGCTGGGCCGCTCGCCGCTGGGAGCTCATACACGTCAACCTTCAACACGAGCCTATTTTGGACGCCGCCCTGCTGGTCGAATCGCACCTCGGGCGACTTGTGCACCAGCGCGTTCGACGCCTTGATGGACCGAGCCGTGCCGTGCGGGAGCGGGAAGCGGGTACCCTTGATCAGCAGCAAGTCGCCGACGGCCACGCTCTCGACGAGCTTTGGGTCGCGGATGATGCACTTGTTGTTCCCGCAGTGCTGCAACTCCCAAAAGTCCACGTTCCCCTTCCTCGTGTACTCGGTGCCCACCACGCCCGTATAGCTAACGATCCCGCGGCCGACAAAGTTGTCGCAGTGCCACCGCGAGCAAACGTTCTCGCCAAAGAGCTCGAGCTTGACGCTGAGCTGCCGCACCGCGGGGCAGAGCGCCTTCCACGCGCGTCCCAGCGCGCAGGCGTCCTCGTGCAGCTGGCGGCTGATCGGGTCTGGGAGCCCGGCGCCGGAGAGCAGCTCAACGACCGCCGCCGAGAACCGGCTAGCCTCGCTGGGAGCGGTGCACGTCAGGCCCCTCTCCGGCCAGCGAGAGCACGCCTCATCGATGGCGCTCTGGAACTCGTCCCACCTGCCGTCGAAAGGCCGCGCCGCAACGAGGCCGTCGTACTGCGAGCTCTCGGCCTGGGCCCAGCGCGAGATGTCGTCGGTGGTGAAGAGCGCCGTTGTGTCGACTCGAGAGTGCGCTCCGCCTCCAAACGGCGGCAGCCACGAGCCGGGAAGGAGCGAGGTGTGTGGCAGCAGCATGCGAGACCTGTCGATGAACCCAAAGCGTGCTAGACAGCAGCAAGTGAAAAAAACCTGCTATGTCTCTTTTGAATCTTTGGCCCAACAAATTCTCTCTCCACCCCTCCTTCCGCCACGCTCTCCAAAAGCTCCCCGAGCATCTCGCCCTGCTCCGGCGGAGTCCCGGACGCCAGCACACACGGCTAGATATCATGGCGGGCCGCCTAGGCCCTGTGATCGGAGGTAGAGTCGGTGATCGCCGTTTCAGTTTCCCGGTTCTCTTGTTTAAAAGAAACTCCAGGATTGCTCAGAGGGTGCTCGGTCCCGCCCAACCTTGTCTGTCTTGGTCGCTGCATCTGCTAGCCCATCTCTCCTGCGCTAGCCCTACTGCCCCAACATTAACAGCATGCTGTGTGCCGTCGTCGTCGCCCTCGCTGCATTCCACGGGTCGGCCATCCACACGTCCAAGGTGGCGCCGCACATGGCTCTCGATGTGCCCGCGTCTGCGCCGGTTCGCACATCGTATGCGGACCTCGTGCCCCACAAGAGCGCTGAGCAGGACAAGGTCAGCCTCGGCGACGGCTGCGAATTGTGTGGCGGTATGGGAGGCTGCCCTGTGTGCTCGACGCGGGCGGCGCCTGCTGGGCGCCGCATCTTTGACCTGGGCTCGTGAGTCTACGGTCGCCGGCGCCTCTGCGTGGGGCGTACTCTCTGCTTGGGCGACCTCTCCACCTCCACTCCGACGGACGGAGGTGTTGTATGAGCCGAAGTCGGCGCTAGGCGCGATGCGCCGCGACAGTTTTGAGAGCTGTTCTCTGGCGGGACGGCTGCTACACTGTACACAGTGTCTGGCCGTCGGCCTCCGTAGATGTACCTCGTCACGCGGGCCCGTGCGCTTGAAAGGATTCTTTTCACGACCGAAGTGAGGCTTGTCTCAACTGAGCTTGACCAAAGGTCCTCCGACGCGCGACGCGTCGTGCGCTCGTGCCACGTGAGACGTGACCGAGAGGCACGTGCGTCCGTGGGACGCTCCCACGCAGCGTCGCCTGCGTCGTGGACTGTGGTCGTCGCGCAGAGCTGCCGATAGGAGCCCCTTCGCCGCTGCGGCTGTCCGCGCAGCCGAAAGAAAGATAAATAAATAAATAAAACAGACATCCCAAGCTAGGGCTGGGTCGAGGACAGACACGTCCCCACCTTTGCAGGATTTTGCAAAAGCGAGGGGGGAGGGCGCATCGCGGCGCGGAGAGGGCTGGGCACGGGCACAGGGGGTCTCTCTCGCATAGGATACGCACTCGGCGGCACGAGGGCAGGGCTGGGCGTCCTATTTGTGCTCCCCTCGAAAGAAAGAGAAAAACACCCGCGCGGATGTTTTTCTTCTTTTCGCTTCTGCGGCGTCAGAGGCCCACCGGGGCACGCAGGCCGGGCTTCGTTGGGACCAGCATGCTCGCACTCCTCCTGCCGACCTGCATTGGGCTCTTCGACAGCATTGCGCCCGGACCGCTCCCGGCGGTGGCCGCCGCCGCCGCCTCTGCCGCCGCCGCCGCTGTGTGGCAATCACGCCGCACCCGGTGGCAGGCGGAGCAGGTCGAGGCGGCCGACGCTCTCCGAGCACGGCTTGGATCCCTCCTGCCCCTCCCACGCACATTTTTCCGCGTCAAACCGGCGGGGGGAAAGGGCGACGGGCTGTTTGCCACGAATGGCATTGACGCAGGCACGTTCCTCTTTGACTATGAGGGCGAGCGCCTCTCCGCGAGCGAGATGGAGTCGCGATACCCTGGCAACCCCGGCGGCGACTACGTCATCTCGGCTGGCGTCGGAGCCGGCTTCATCGACGCAGTGACTCCGGACCGCCGCAACCTGGCGCGGTACATGAATCACGACGGTAAGGCGCCCAATTGCCGCTGCATGTGCCTTCCCGCTAGCCTGCCGAAACCGCCGTCCGTGCCCGCCACGCCCTTTAGACCTCCTGCCTTGACGATGGTCGGCTCCCCGCCCACAGGACCATGATGAGCCCAGGCGGGCGCGCGATGCTGTTCACCAGCACTGACGTCGAGGCGGGAGACGAGCTCGTCTGGGATTACGGCCGGGATCCTAGATGCACCAGCGCCCTCCACCCGCGCGGCCCAGGGTGGCTGCGGCGGCCCGCGCACACCCTAACCACCCCTCCGTCGCCCCATCCCGCCCCAGGCCGCCAGTTCTGGCGCGGCCGCGCCGCGCCGCTGTAGCGTGGCTCTCGGCGCTGAGCGAACACAGCGACCGATCCTACATGAACATGCATGCAGATGTGCGCGAGGCCATGACGCGTGAGGCGCTCCTGCACTGAGCGCCAAGCCCCGGGGGGCGCTGCACCTCGCTCCTGGGGGGGGGTTGGTGGCCACAAGGCATTGTCTGAGGCTGCGAGAACTCTGCGAGATACCAGATACGGGCCGTCGAGACTCCGAGATGGCGCACTCGCGGGTGTGCTATGCGAGCCGCTGCGTGGCGGGTTGTTTTGTACTTGTCAATGTTGGGTGTGTACGTACGAAAAGAGGAAGCCCCGCTGCGGGCGCGGGGGCCCTAGAGGGTATCCATGCGGGGGGGAGATGGGGTCCCATGGCCCGCCGCAGGCCCCGATTTTTTCGATTTTTTGCGCGATTTTCTTACTTGTTTTCTCATGGGAATTCGGCGTGCTTGCGGCCATATGCTATCACGCCTTGCGACAGCCTGTCGGCGCTGCTGACCGTGCCATGATGCACAATTGATCACCTGCATAGCTCGCGGCCTTAGTATCAAGCATTCAGTGACGACCTGATCGTACGGCCAGTAGGAAGGTGTCCTTCCATCGTGTGCACGCTTCTGGCGCAATGCGCGTCGCCTCGGATTGGCTGCTGGCACTCTCAAGGCTATGCCTACGCAGCCTCGCGCGCATGGGCAGTCAAGAGGGACCACGCACCTTCTCAGGACAGCGCCGGTGCCTCTCTCTTGGACCGGCAAAGGTGGTGGTCTCGTGTCACCAATGGGACCAGTGCGGCATCGCGCCATCGACAGCTCTGAACTGCGCCTCACCACTGACCGGGAAGGCCGCCAAGTGGGCCAGCACAGGTCGCACATTGTGGCAGCAGTCAGCAGTGCATGTCTGATAGCTAGAGCAGCAGCGTCAGGGTCGCAGGGTCGGATCGTGTCAAGCCTCTCGCCCGGCCGGCCGCGTGCAGACGTCGGCCTGTCTGCTGTCTGGAGTGACGATCTGTCGGGGCGGTCAGACGTCAGTACGACCGATCAGGTCGGAGTTTTCTGATGGTTGGAGGGTCTATCTGTATGTACTCCTCGAGATCTCTCCAAATCTGCCCTCTGTTAGACCGGGTTAGATCGGGAAGTCGGTGCTAATAGAGACTAATAGAGCCGGAGCCCCGTTTCCGCACTCACTGCTGCGCGGCGCACGGTGCCTCCGTCCGGGGGCCCCCGCGCCCCCCCACAGAGACACACCACTCACCAAGTCGCAAGTGTCCACCACACAGGGCCGTCAGGGGAACTAGTTTGGACGGACGGAAAAACACCCCCCCCTTTTATGCCTGACCCTGGCCATGGCCTCTCTGGGGGTGAGCTGGGCCGGCCGCCTCCGGGTCCGCCACTCGCACGGTGGGCTCGCGTCCGGGAGAGCATCCGAGACCCGCGGTTGTCCGCTCGCTGGGCGCGACCTACATGGAAATCCACTGCACACAGATATGTGCTTTTGGCGCCTATTGCTCGCTCTCTGTGCAATCGCAACGCCAGAGGCCGTGCTTGGAGAGTGTGTCGCAGTGCTGCTACGTCAGTGGATTGAGCCGCGACGCAGGCTCCATCGGTGAGCTGCGGCGGCGCTCCGGCCGCTCCATGCATGCTCTCCGGCGAGCCGTCGCAAACGCGTTTCCGTCCGCCCGTTTCATCGAGTTTGCCCGAGTGGTAAAATGCAATAATCTGCCCGAGTGGTCAACTAAAACTTTGCCTTTCGTAAAAGTTGCCCGAGTGGTCTGTGGGGAAAAAACGAAAATCGAGACGGACTTCTTGAAAATCGAGACGGACTTCTTGAACGGCCGGGCAACATGTCTTCCTTACTATTATTAATTGATGCTTTTTGCACGGCTGAGCCCCCCCCCCCCCTCCCCCGCGCCCACTCCCTGCCCTCTCCCGCCACGCACTCCGTCAGAGCCCCCTCCCCTCTTGCACAACAGGAATTTTGACAATTAACAAGATGGTGCGGTCTCCTGCAGGTGAAGGAAAGGCACAGCTCTCAGAACGATGGGCTTGCCCATCCCGGAGTGGTTCGATCCCACACAAACCCGAGACGGTGACGGGAAGCGTACGGCGGTCTCAGGCCCAGTGAGGTAGTGCGCCAGTCCAACCCGGATCCTGCTGAACAAGCTCCTCTTGTAGCTCGATCGGTCACACCGCCATCGCCGTCGGGGAGAGGGGGGACGACACTGCTTTGGCAGCGTGCACCTCGATCCTGTACCGTGTTTGTTATGACCCCCCCCAATGAACACCAGTGAGGGAGGGCGAGACGATCGAGGGGTCCCGTACCATGCGGAATCAGCCCTATCCAGTGCTCAAGTGCTCAAGTCAGGGGAACCAGGCGTGTGCCTTATGTATTTACGGGCTACATGGCTGAGAAGCACAAGGGCGCCGCGAGAGACTACACGCGTCGCGCGGCGCGTACGTAAACACGGTTTGATTGATTGATGGGAGGGCAGAGGCCCAACGTCGGGCGGCTTGTCGGGGTCCGGAGCATTCGAGGGGGGAACGAGGAGGGGGGAATGGGCGGTCGGCGTCGGGGTAGAAGCAACAGGGCGTACGGGGTAGCCGCCACTTTCCTGCCTCGCAAGGGCGGGGCTGTCCCGGAAAGTGAGAAACGCCGGGCAGCGTGGCGCATTACTGAACCCTCCCATACGTGCTTGTGCTCCTCCTTCGCTGTCCCATCTCCTCATCTCTTTCCCGCCTGGGCGGGGCAGCGGGTGGGCGCGCGGTGAGGCGTGACGTGTGAGTGTGTGCGACTGCAGCGGCGGACCGCTCGCAAGAGACCATTGGGTTTGTACTATTAACAACGACTAGAGGTCCCCCTGCGCGGGCCCCGCCCCCCATCATGGGGGCGGGGCCCTTGCGAAGGAGTGTAGTTAGTGTTGCAAGATCAAACAGTATCATATTCTACCTCCGACAGTATGGTCTGTCACGAACGAACAGGACGACACTGATTAGCAAACGCGGCAACTAATTTCTCATCCTCATCCGGCGCCATCATGAGCACCTCGATAGGGAGCATGGCGTGTATTTCTGCGGCTGCACTTGAGCATATCTCAGATCTCAGTTCGTCGAGCTCTGGCGGCGTTGGCGCATTTTCGCAGGGCACGTAATTTGCCCTCTGCGCGGCGGCCTCCTTGTAAGCCTCAGCCATCAACGCACGCGAGGTAGGAGAGCTGCACCGATCGAGCGCTCGCTGTATCGACGCCTGCCTCCTCTCGAGCTCCTGCTGCGACGGAGGCTCTGGTCGATATCGGGCCCGGGCCATATCGAGAAGCTCCTGCTGCACACGCTCAACCTTGGCTTCCATTGCTCTCAGCTCTGATGCTCGCTTGTGAGTGCGGCAAAGGTTGAAATAGTGTGCGTCGTAGTGATAATCATATGGTATTTGTTGGAACCCCTCGCAAGTGATGTTGTTTGTTCGAATCTCGTCCACAGTCAACCTCGTGTATATGTCTTGTGACACGCGCCACAGTGACATGGTGAACTTCCGTTGTTGGTGGCAGTATGCTTGATAGTCCGTGCTTGCGAACTCGCTGTCGCCGCTGTCCGGCATTCGCCCAGCTGCTTCTGCCCAAAGTCCCATGCTTTCATGCTCGTTGGCACAGCCCCACTCACGATCCACCAGGTTTGCCATACCTGGCTGGCCTTCTGAATGTAGCCCATCGCCGTCCTGCTCCTCACCACTTCCAACTTGCGCGGACCTTCGACATGAAATCCCTCCATCAGCTGGAACTTGTGCCAAATTCCAACGCTGTGGTCCCCGTTGCTGAACTTGACAAATCCCTCTCCCTCGAACCAGTGCGTCGTTCCATCCCAGTTCCATCCTCCATCATAGCAGGAGACGGACGCCGGCATGCCGTTCTCGTCATCGAGGTAGAGGCACACTCCCCTATGTCTTTCGCGGGAAGGCGCGCCTATGTAGACGGAGTCGACCCAATGCAGCTCAAGGTCTTCGTCCTTGACACCGGCCTGCTTCAGCTCTGTAATCCGCTGCTCTTTCTCCGACCGAACCTGTTGCATATCGATCGGAATTTTGCCGCCGAGCGTCGTGAGCGCGACTCGCCGCCGAGTGTAGTGAACGCAGGATGAGGGGGGCGGCTGTCTCCCGAGCAGCTCCTCCCACGCGCTCCAGAGGCGCTCCTCGTCCTCCTTCTTGGGTACGGCATGCCGCTGGACCAGCCAGGTGAGGTTGGCAAGCCGGAAGAACATTGGGCTTGTCGGAGTCCCGACAGACTCCACCCTCGACTTGCCTCTCTGCTGCTGCCTCTGTCGCACCCGCCGCTCACTGTCATCGACTGGCCGCTGCCGCTCTCGCCTCGTCTCGCGGACCTGCTTCTGCGCGCGCTCGCGCTCTGCCATCAGCAGCCTGCGCCTCCTGCGCTCCTCCTCCCACGCAGCGCGGTCGGCTTCAAACGCAGTGTTGTTCGCGTAGCGCTTGCCTGGCCCAACCTCCGCTCCCGTGATTGAGGAGCGTGCCGCAGCTTCTCCGGCAAGGGTGGGACGTTGATCGTCGATGGGCGTGCACGGGACGCCATGCAATCGCCCGAGCAAGTGCCTCTGCAAAACTTCCGCGGCGGACAGAAACGGCGAGGGAGCAGCTTTTAGTTATTGGAAGGCGCTCTCAAAGAAAGAAAGCGCGTCGCAAAACGCCGAATTTTAGCACCTTGGAAGAGCTTGCAACACTCCTTTCTGCCCGTCGGTCGGCCCCACTCTCACCTCACTGTGCCGGTGGCCCAACAGTCCACTGCCCCAGCTCCAGACGCAATGGCAACCATCACGAAGGTGCACGCGCGCGAGATCCTCGACAGCCGCGGCAATCCCACAGTGGAGGTTGAGCTGACGACGGCCGATGGCACCTTCCGCGCTGACGTCCCGAGCGGCGCTTCGACCGGCGAGAACGAGGCGATGGAGATCCGCGACGGCGGCTCGCGCTACCTGGGCAAGGGCGTGGCCACGGCCGTCGACAACGTCATCAGCACCATCGGCCCAGCCATCATGGGCATGGACGCGCAAGACGTGGCGGCGCTGGACAAGGTGATGCTGGACCTCGACGGCACGCCCAACAAGGGCAAGCTCGGCGCCAACGCCATCCTCGGCGTGTCGATGGCTGCGTGCCGGGCGGGTGCCGCCCACCGGAAGGAGCCCCTGTACGTCTTCCTTAACCGGCTCGCCGGCAGCCCGACGATGGTGATGCCGGTGCCGTGCTTCAACTGCATCAACGGAGGAGTGCACGCGGGCAACTACCTTCCATTCCAAGAGTTCTTCCTGATCCCGCTTGGAGCCAGCAGCTTCAAGGAGGCGATGCAGCTCGGCTCGGAAACGTACCACACGCTCAAGGGTCTGCTAAAGAAGAAATACGGGCTCGACTCGACCGCAGTCGGCGACGAGGGCGGCTTTGCGCCTCGCATAGACTCGCCGGAGGAGGCGCTCAAGCTGCTCGTCGAGGCCATCGACGCGGCGGGCTACACGGGCAAGATCATGATCGGCTCCGACCCGGCCTCCTCGGAGACCTACGACAAGGCCTCGGGCAAGTACAACCTTGACTTCAAGAAGCCCGAGGGCGAGCAGACGCCAGCGAGCATCAAGAGCGGGGATGAGCTGGTCTCCTACTGGGTCGAGATGGCCTCCAAGTACCCCATCGTACTGCTCGAGGACCCGGCCGATGAGAACGACTTTGAGTCGCACGCCAAACTGACTGCACGCCTTGGCGGGGCGGTCGAGATTGTGGGCGACGATCTGTACTGCACCAACCCCGCCATTGTTGAGCGCGGTATTAGCTGCAAGGCGACCAACGCGATGCTTCTCAAGGTGAATCAGATCGGCACCATCAGCGAGGCGATCGCGGCGTACAAGCTCTGCGTTGACCAGGAGTGGGGAGTTTTCGTCAGCCATCGGTCTGGCGAGACGGAGGACTCCTTCATCGCCGACCTCACGGTTGCTCTCGGCACCGGGCACCTCAAGACGGGCGCACCGTGCCGCTCCGAGCGGCTGTGCAAGTACAACCAGCTGCTCCGCATCGAGGAGGACCTCGGCTCGAACGCAATCTTCGCCGGAAAGGACTTTCGTAAGTCTGGGAGGTTCTAGGCACTCCTCGCCTGTGTCCAGTGGCAGTCCCCGGACCTAATCCGATGAGAGAGAAAGAGATCTTAACGCGAGTAGCCGGACCTGAGTGAAGAACAGTCAGAAACAAAACAGACAGCCCAAACGAGGGATGAGGTCCCCACCTGCAGGATTTTGAGCAAAAAAGAAAGCAGTCTGCCCCGCGCGCAAGCTCACCGCCAAGCATGAGCGACGCCTACTCCAAGCTCAAGGTGGCGCAGCTAAAGGCCAAGCTCAAGGAGCGCGCTCAGTCGGGTGCGGGCGAGAAGGAGGATCTCGTCCGCCGGCTGCAGCTCTGCGACGCTGGCGACAAGCACGCCTTGCCCGACGGCCGCAACCCCACCACGCTCAAGGCGGCCGAGTTCCGCAAGGCGCTCGCGTCGCATGGCCTCCCGTGCGATCTGTCGATCAACACCCGCGACGAACTGATGCAGAGCCTCATCGACGCGCTGAAGTCTGAAGGCGGAGGGACGTCGGCCGAGGCTGGCTCCTCGGCCGGCGGAGGGGGCGGCGGTGAGGATGCCGACGAGCTGGCGACGCGTCTCGCCCTCCAGGTGCTGGAGCTGGGCGAGGCCGGCAACCCCGAGGGCGTGTTGTCTCTGCTCGGCGCCGCAATCACGCGCGCAACGCCATTCGCCGCACAGCGCAAGGCGTACCTCAGCCTCGCGCGCATCATCCACCCCGACAAGCTGCCCAAGCTGGGCCAGGCGACCAAGGCGTTCCAGCACCTCGTGCGCGCCTTTGAGGTGCTCACGGCGCCAGAGGCGCCGCCGCAGGCCGCCAAGGCCGCGGCGAGGGCACACACCGCCATCTCTCGCTCCAACGACGGCTGCTTCAAGACGCATCTCTTCTGCCCGCGGTGCAAATCGCAGTGGGGAAGCGCCGACTCGGGCGTCATGGACTTCGGCGCGCCGCCAGCCTCTCTCCGCCCTCCTGCTGCCTTCGGATCAGCGGCCCTCCCACTGCCAAGGCTGCTCTCGCCCTCACACCGCCGCTTCCGCCCCCCCCCTCCTGCCGCGCCCAACAGACTACAACTTCATGATGCAGGGCCTCAAAGTGTACTGCTGCGCCCTCTGCCTCTGCGACTTTGGCTGCATGACCGCCGAGCACCGCTGCCCGCTCTGCCGCAAGCCGTTCGAGTACCACCCCCGCGACTACCACCGGCAGGTCACCTGCGGCAACGCGCGCTGCTCCGGCACCTTTGGCTTCTGGCTCTACCACGTGCCGGCCCGGGTGCGTCCCTCCGCCGCCTCCGCCTCCGCCTCCGCCTCCCCACGCCGCGGCCCTCTCTCGGTCAGGTGGAGGACGACCTGCGGCAGGAGGCGAGGAAGGAGCAGGAGCGGCAGGCCAAGCAGCGCGAGGCGGCGGCGGCGCGTGTCGCGCGCGCGGCGCGCAAGGGCACGGGCGGCGCGTCCGAGGCGGAGAGGCGCGCGCAGGGGGAGAAGCTCTTCGTCGCCGGACTGCTCGACGCGTGCCCGCGCTGCGGCTTCGAGCCTCCGCCGGGCGTGAGCAGGGAGGAGCTCGCCGAGCACTTGGGGTGCTGCACCGACAAGAAGGCGCACGCCGCACACGCGGCGGCGGTCGCGGCGGCGGGCGAGAGGAGGGCGAAGAAGGCGGAGGCGAGGGATGCACAGGCTGAGGCTCAGAACCTGGCGGTGTGGCAGTTTCTGGGTGGCGACGACTCGCAGGCGTGGCTGCTCACCGACACGCAGGTCAAGAAGCAGTGCGAGGAGCGGGGACTGGCGACCGACGGGACGAAGGAGGAGATGCTCGCGAGGATGGCGTCGCACGCCTCGGGGCGGAAGATGCTGACGGCCGGGCGCGCGGCCGCAGGCGGCGGCGGCGGCGGCGGCGGCGGCGGCAAGATTTCCGCGGCGGCACTGCCCTCGAACCTGCACTCGATGTCGCTGCCGCAGCTGCGGGCGGTGTGCGCGGCCAACGGCCTCACCCCGCGCGGCGACTCGACATCGGACCTTATCCATCAGCTCGAGGCATCGGCCTACGCCGGCGAAGAGGCGGTCCTCCTGCTCGAGGAGCCGGCGGGGCGGGGCGGCGGCGCCGGCCGGAGCGCGCGGGGGGCGGCGGCCAAGCCCAAGCGCAAGACGCCTTGCGACGACGGCGACGACGGCGACGAGTCGGATGGCTGGCAGCCCGAGGAGTCGTCGTCACGCCGCAAGCGCGCCGCCGCCGGAAAGAGCTACAAAGAGGAGAGCGACGACGACGACGAGTGAGCAGAGAGCGAGGCGGACGCGCGGCTGCGGACTGACGGTCTCAGGGCGGAGCCGTTGCGAACTACGCTCTATGGACCTAGTTCATCTGCCCGGCGTGTGGCGAGTGGGCCTGCGAGTCCGTGGCATAATCTTGGTGACCGACCTGCACAGACATATGCATAGAGGTTAGTACAGCAGAGTACCAGTAAAAGTACGAACGACGTAAACATATGCGCAACACACTACACAGGCGCACAACTCTCAACTCCTCGGAATGTCGCGCCCAGCCCGCTTCATGACCCCAAGAGATTTTGAGGATGAGGTAGTGATGCGATGGCTAGTTCCATTTCACTCTGTCTCTGACACGCTAATCTTGTTCTTAGCGTCTCCAACGGAGCTCCGTGTTGCTTCCAGCGCCCTCCCCCGCGCTCCCTGCGGCCATGGCCGATGCTCCTAGGAAGAGAGGTCATCTGGCTACCGCGAGGCGCGAGAGCGACCCAAGTCCCAACTCGTCGACATCGTCCGATGATGGTGCCGCAAAGTCAGCCTTCCGAGGCTATGAATCGTGGGGTCGAGCCGGCAGTAGCCGTGATATGTGGTTCCACCACCCCTTGTAGGCTTTGCCTCTGACCGCGCGCCGTTTTCCCAGGCTGCCTACCGTCGAGTAATGGGATAGAAAGGAAGGCTCGGCGAGCGTTAGAAGCGTGCTCGACCTTGTCGTGGCAGCCTGCACGGCAGCGCTGGCAGGCGCGATGAGCATAGTGCCACTTGACCGGAGACGGGTCGCAGGCGTCGTACCGAGCGCGTCGAGACCGAAGACCGTGTCCTGATGAGATCTGCACGGGTGAGTCACGTCGGCGTCAAAGGAGCGACGTGCGACCTGTCAGAGCTTGATCTCCGATCTCAGCGGCGTCGAGTCGTCCCCGGCGGCGACACTATTGTCCCTCCCCAGGACGCGCAGAGGCAGCTGCGATCCAGCCGAGTGGACGGTGGCACACACCGCGCCACCTGCTCGGAGCGGCCTGCTGAGCAGTGAGCTGACAGCTGTGTGCCGCCGTCTACTCGGCGGGGTCGCAGCTGCCTCTGGAAGGCACCGCGAGGGACATATTAGTGCGCAAATGGTCAAAATCAAGGTTTTGTAACGCGAGCTGTGCCACAGTGAAATGGAACTAGCCGATAGGGACATACGAAGCGAGGCGCGGGGGGTCCGCGCGTCCGGGGGGTGCGCGGGGAGCCGCGGCGTCGGGGCGGGGGGCGCGGCGCCATGTCGCGCGCGCGCGAGTGGCCGCCGGCCCGCGGCCCGGTCCCCCCCGGCGCCTGTTTTTTTTCTTTTTCGACATGCCCGGTGGCTAGGTGAACAGTATGCTTGAAATGTACACAACTGAGGCTTCAAACGACTCTCTCGCTCCGGCGAGTCCTCTATACGTGTATTTCGCGCGCGGGGAGAGCGATCGCTCCTGGCGCTGCGGTTTGGGCGGGCCCGCACGTGCGCTGCGGTAAGCCGAAGCCTACCCGCCGCGCGCCTGCCTGCTCTGTGGCGCGTCGGCCGCCCAGAAGAGCTCCTCTGCGTCGAGCTCGCGCGGCGAGTTGAGCCCCTTCATGAAGACCTTGGAGCCGCGCGCGAGGTTGATGGTGCGCTGCCGCCGCTCCGGCAGCTCCGAGACGGGCACCTCGACGAACCCGCGCTCGGTGAACCACTGCATGGTTCGCGTCGAGAGCGCAAAGAGGCGCGAGACGCCCGCCGAGATGGCGGTCCGCTCGAGGAAGGAGAGCATCGAGTCGCCGCGGCCCTCCTTGCGGTAGCGCGGCGAGACGACGAGGCAGCCTGCGCCGCAAAAGCAGTGTGGCCGACCGAGGCGTGGGGCGGGCCCGTTGGGCAGGGGCTCGGTTGGGGTTCGGGCTGGAGTTTTGGGCTTGTGTTGGGGTAGGGGCTGGGGCATGGCACACTGTGTGGGGTTGGGGGTTGGGGTTGGGGGGGGATGGCTGGCGTGTGGGGAGCGCGTGCCAAGCTCCGCGCAGTCGAGTGCGTAGCGCTTCAGCATCGCACAGGCGAGGATGTTGGCGTCGCGCGTGAGGACGTAGTAGAAGCCCTGCGCCGGGGGCGGCCGCACAGTGGGGCCGGCACAAGAGAGGGGGTGCGTTCTCCGAGACCCTGCGCATGACTGCCCTCTGCTCCTCGGAGTCTTGCTGCCGTCAACGCTGCAGAGTCTCTCTACGGCGTGAGCTCTGGGCCTCCGAGTTCCATGCCCGAGTAGGACTTGGATGCCTGCCTCTCGCAGACGCGCAAGACCCCACTGTCTGGGTAGTCCCCTGGGGCGGGAAGCGCGGGCGGCCTGGCGCCTGGTGCACGTCCCTCGTGAGCTCGTGCAGCGGCCGCGGGATGAGCACGCCCTGCTCCTCGAGCGGCGCCGTCAGCTCGGCGATGCCCGGCACGTCGGCCGCGGTGGCGATGCGGATGCCTGCAGCGTGCGGGCGGCGGTGCGGGCGGGCGGTGGTGGTGGGGTTGGGCGGTGGTCGGGTTGGGAGGCGGGGCGGAGAGGAGGAGGGGGTCGGGGAAGGCGGCGGCGGCGGCCCGCCGTCGTAGACGTCGTACGCGATGAGCGTCCCCGCGCCGTCGAGCGTGTACAGCTCCTGCAGCAGCGCGCCCGGGGCGGGGGGCACCAGGTGCGCGCCTGAGCAGGGGGAGAGATGGGGAGAGATGGGGAGAGATGGGGAGAGATGGGGGGGGACTGGTGCGCACCTGGGCGTGGGGCCGCCGCGAGGCTCGAGTCAGGGCGCGCGGCAGGGCGGAGGAGGCTCGCCGGGAGGGCGGGGGCTCGCGCGGCGGCGGCGGCGGCGGCGGGCAGGGGCGGCGCACGGTTGACGCCCGACGAGAGCGCCTCGACGCACCGCTTGCACAGGCCGCCGACCACAAACTCTGCCGACTCGTACCGCGAGCGGGCGGCGGGGTCGGCCGCCTCGGGCAAGCGGGCCGCGGCGACCTCCGAGCGCGCGTCCCAGTGGCGCACCAGCTCCCTCGCCTCGGCGAGCCGCATCGACTGGACGAGCGGGCGCTGGTCGACGGGGACGGCCGACGCGCCCGCGCCGCCGAGCTGGCTGTGCATCACCAGCCGCGCGCCGGTGAGGTAGATGAGCTTCGACGCCTTGAGCGCGCCGGCGGCGCGCGCCGCGACCTCGACCGCCGGAACCTGAGGGCGCACGGCCGGGCCAGCCGGCTGAGCGCGTCACCCGCCCACCCCGGCCCGCACCTCCCGCCTGGGCGGGGCTGGGTGCAGGTCTCACGTCGTCGACCTCTCCCGACGCAGAGTAGCCGAGCGAGAGATGGGGAGATGTGCGGAGATGTGCGGAGAGACATGCCTCACGTTGTAGACCTCTCCCGACGCAGAGTAGCCGAGCGAGGTGAGCAGCACGACGGCGCCACCGTCGAGGTAGGCGTGGATCTTGTCGGCGTCGACGCGCCGCACCTCGCCCGTGCTCTTGAAGTCCACCCCGCTCAGCACGCCCACCGGCTGGGCCGAGTAGAGGGCGTTCGACGTCACCACGTCCACTCCAGCGCCGAGGCGCGGCGCGCTGCTCGCGCCTCGCTCGCTCCCGCCCGGAGGCGCGTGGCGGCCGCGCGCGAGGGCGGCCTCGACGCGCGCGCGCACCTCGCCCGACACCTGCTGCACCGCGCGCAGCGTGTTTGCGTCCGAGACGCGACGCCCGCCCACGATCTGCGGCTCGGCGCCCGCGGCACGGACGGCGTCGTCGACCTGGCCGTGCATCCCGACGACGAGGACGACGCGCACGCCGAGGAGCGAGAGGATGGAGAGGTCCACCATCGTCTCCTCGAAGAGCGACGAGTGCTCCAGCACCAGCGAGGAGATGTGCAGCACGATCGTCCGGCCCTGGTGCATCTTGATGTACGGCGCGCACGAGCGGAAGAGCTCGACGAAGCGGTCGCCGCCGCCGGCCTGCGTGGCGGGCAGCGTGAAGACCGACGGGTCCTGCTCGACCACCGATACCAGCTGCGGGTCGAGCGGCTTGAGCAGCTCACCCACCGGCGCGAGCGAGCCGAGGTCCGCCAGCCCCTCCTCGTCGCCGCCCGCAGAAGCGCTGGCCGCGGCGGCGAAGCGGACGCGCGGCGCGCGCGGCGCCTTGCGCAGGCGGCCGCCGCCAAGGTGCAGCGGGCGCGATAAGCGGAGAGCGGCCGTGTGCAGGAGCGGGAGGAGGAGGAGGAGGAGAGACAGCAGAGCCGACATCGATCGGCAACGGGCCTTTTGGTTTCTTCTTCCTCGGCGAGAGGGACGAAAGATGAGCCATAGAGGTCACACCGGCGTGCGAGTCGCAGAGGAGGAGCGCGGTGGTGGGGAGCATCGCCGTGAGATGTAGAATGAGAAGGCACGAAGGCACAGAGATCAAACAGGACAACAACTGAGAACGCGACATCGGCAACGGCCAACGGGTGGGACAACTACAGTGAGGAGCAGGAGGAGGAGGATCGGCAAGCAACGGCTCGTCTGTTGGCGGCTAACTTTCTTCTTCCTCGCACTAAAATTCTTCTTCCTCGGCGAAACGAAAGATTAGACTGCGGCAAGACGGCGCGCGGACTTGCCGTAGTATGCGCTACAAATAAATAAATAAAACGGACACCTCTACTAGGAGATGGGTAAAAAGGAACAGGTCCCCGCCCTGCGGTCTTTGTGCAGGGTTCTTTGTGGGTGTCAGTGGTCGGCGACTAGCCGGGGTCGTCCTCCCGATGGGGGACTAGCACTAGCCGTCGGCTTCCACATGCGACATGGTCCCTCGGGTCCCTGCTGCTCCTAATCTCGTCGTACATCCTCCTGCTGATCTCCGCAACATCCTGCTCCCTCCCTCGTCTCGCCCTGCGCGTCTGCTCCGCCTCACCGTCGTCTGCTCTGCGTCGTCTGGTGACGGGTCCTCCATAGTCGGTTTTGAGCGTTGAGGTCGCCGCGCCCTCCTCTTGTTGTATGCTTTGTACATCGCGTCGATTCCTTTATCCTTTTCACGCGTGAGCACCACCCTGAAGCCCGCCCAGCAGCTGAACCGCTCTCCCTAAGTCGAAGGAGCATCATCAGTCTCACCCTATACTACAACTGTATGCCTGTTTTGTTTTTTAACCGGCTCGCGATCGAGCTACGAGCCATCTGCCTCAAATCCAATTGCTACGGCTCTATCGTCTATCGACGCGAACAACACAAAACTCTCTCTCTCTCGACGCGGCTCATCGCACTCATGCGGCTCATCGCACCGCCGCCCCATCGCCCGCCCGCGGTGTCCGCGCGACGTCGAGCGTCATAAAGGCGCCGCCCTCCGCCCGGCGCAGGCGCGCCGCCAGGGCCTCCCCCAAGCCGGTCCAGGGCGTGAGCACGCCTCCCGCCGCAGAGGGGTGCGCGTCCAGACTCAGGCAGAGCCCCACCTCGGCCAACATCTTAGCCGTCGCGCCGTAGCCCGGGTCGCCCTTGCCCACGACGGTCGCAACCGCCTGCGCGCCGCTCGCCGCCGTCGCCGTCACCTCCACCGCGAATGCGCCCTCCTCGAGGAGCCAAGAGGGAGGGCCCTCGCCCGAGCGCGGCGAGAGGTTGATCGGCTCGCCGCGGAAGTAGCCGAGGCCGCGCGACGCGTACACCCAGCCGAGGCGCAGCCAGAGCCCGACCGACGAGCACTCGGAGTAGGAGACCTGCTGCGCGAGGCCGCGCAGCGCCAGCGAGCGACGCACGACGCGCGCGTTGATCGGCCTGGTCGAGGCGCGGGGGCGTAGCGCGGGGAGCGTCAGACACCCCACACACCACGGCGGTCAAACGGCGGGGCGTCTCGCACGCCCCATGAAGAAGGGCTGCCGCCGCGAGAGGCCCCAGCCAAAGCCCGCCGGCATGCCGTCGGCGGTGCCGACGGCGCTGTCCGCGCCGGTCGTGCCCGGGGCGAGCAGGTAGGGGTCCGCCTCCATCGCGGCCGTGACGCGGCCCTCGTTGCGCGCGCGGCTCATCGCGCGGCCGCTGTTGAGCGTGCCCCCGGAGAAGCTCCCCGTGTACTCGGTGTACACCGCGCGCGCCTGGATCGGACCCCCCTCCCCTGGGAGCGCGTCGATGGCGAGCATGCAGCCGAGGTCGCTCGGGATGGAGTCGACGCCGCCGCCGAGCACAATCTTGGCGCCGCTGCGCTCGGCGACCTGGTGGAACTTGGCCGCCATTTCCGCCTGCCAAAAGCCCTCGCCGGCCAAGTCGGAGTAGTGAACACCTCTCCTCGCGCACTCACCCAGTAACTCCTCCGCGTGGTGCTGCGAGAAGGGACCGGCGCAGTTGATGACGGCGCGAGTGCTGGACACCAGGTCGGCGGTGGCGGCGGCGTCCGTGAGCTCGGCGGCGATGGAGCTGACGCCCGCGCCGAGCTTGGTGGCCAGCGCGGCCAGCTTGGCGGGCGAGCGGCCGGCGATGGCCCACTTCTGCCCCTGCAGGTCTTGCACGGAGTGGAGGTAGGCCGCGACGAGCTGACCGGTGAAGCCGGTGGCGCCGTACAGCACGATGTCGTACTTTGGCTGCAGCGATGTTCGAGCAGCGACATCGAGCATCGCCGACTGGTTGCCAGGCGCGCGCGACTTTTTCTCGATTTTTCCGGGGGTATGGTTTTCGCGTCGCAAACGGTGGGGCTTTGGGGGTATCGTCCTGACCGCCCAGGCCGGCAGCCGGGAGGCTGGGTCTGTCAGCAGGCGGGGGGGTATGGTCTCGAGGTGGGTTGCGCGATGCTACCATACCATACCCCGCAAAAAGCCCCGCCCTTCCTGCCGGTACGCACAAGACATGACAACAAAGAGTTGTTTGGTATTGCTAAAAATCTCTCTCTCAAGACATGCTGCCCACGTAGTTGAATCCGGCACGCGGCGAAGCAGCGCGCCCGTCGGGCCGCACCACACTTCAGTAGTCGACCTGATTTTCATGCATTGGTGGGCTCGTTCGGGTTCATGCACTGGAAGGCGTACACGGAGTCTGCATTGAAGGTGGTGCTTTCCAGCACCGGCACATCGAGCAGGGTGGTGCAGAGTTCGCCGCGCACACCGCACGGATAGCCCGACTCGTTCTGGTTGTTCTGGTTCCCGAAGCTGCCGCCACCGCAGTTGGCGCTGCCAGGGCACCAGCCCGCACATCCCTCATTTCGCGTGGTCGTGCCCGGGCACCTGCAGATGGGTGTCTGGTAGCAAATCGGGTCCACCGGGAACTTGGCCCCGTAGCCGGGGTCGTAGTTCTGCATCAGGCGGCCGATGGGCTTGGAGGGGAGGGGCGGGCGACCCCCGGTGCACGTGAGCGCATCAACGACATCCTGGAGACGACGCAAGTGTGTGGGTAAGCGGGGTGGGGATGCTGCAGCAGGCCAGTGACCAGGAGCTGGGGGCGGGACGGCGACGCACCTGCGGCAGCCCTTCATAGAAGAGCAAAGTGCCGTCCGCCTGGGTGCCAAACTTTGGCTCGATGAAGCTTGCGTCAAAGAGACGGGTGATACAATCGCGAAAAGCGGGGTTGCGAAAGAGCGCCAGAAAGAGGTCGTTGACGCCGATCGGGCGGAATGTGTCCGCGGCACTCATCACGCACCGCCCCACCGTCGAGATGTCAAAGACCGGGACGCCAAAGTCCATCCGCACCTTGTTTGAGTGCGCGGGCATCTCGGTCGACTCCATCACGATCGCCTACGAGAAAGCGCTGCTGTCATCATCTTGTGCGGCCGAGCTGGCAGCAGCTGCAACTGGCACAGAGGCGCGCCTTGAGGGTGAAGCCGTCCCTCGTGATGTTGGCGATGGTGTCGTTCACCAGGCTGTAATAGTTGGAGAGGGTGAGGTTGACGTTGTGGAACCCTCCGCCCTGGTCTACCGGGATGTAGCCCTCCATGTCGTTCCAGCCAATGACGACGGTCCGATTCGCCAGGTAGAGGAGGGAGTTGAGCTCGTCAGGCTTCGAGCTGTCATACAGCCGGTAGAGCTGCCTGAGGATGCTCAGAGCCGCATCGCCCTGGCCGGGCAGCGCCTTGATGCCGAAGTACTGTTCGATGAGCAGCCGCGCGTGCTCGAGGTCCGTGGCGGTCGGAATCGGCACGTTCGAGCGGATCCCGACGTCCTGGATGATTGCGTCGAGTTGTGTTGTATCGAGGGCGGGATAGTACGAGGTGATGATCAGGATTCTCTCGTCAGGCTGGAGGAGCAGTTTGTCATGGTCCTCTCCGGTGGCGCGGAAAACTCCCGTGAAGACCGGAAGCAGGGCCGGTGAGCCCAGCAACATCGGCTTGAGCTTTGCCGTTGAACTTGGATCCTGCTGGATCGAGGCGGTCACGTTCAGCACCATCGGCTGCAGCTCGGCGCAGAACCCCACGTTGCACGTGATGGCCTTGATGTCGTCCTCTTCGAGGAAGTGTTTGACGGCCTTTTCGAGCGGCGAGATCAAGTCTGCGTCATTCCACGCATTGGTGGGAGTCTCTGAAACGTGAAAGGTGAACTGCCCGTCCTTATCGCCGATGACGGCGTAGGCGGCGCCAAACTCGTCGCACGTCGCGCCCCCGTCGCAAGGTGTGCCACCGTCGTGTCGCAGCGGAAGCTCGCACGTGTACTCGGGGTCATCCACGAGGCTCTCGCTGACGCGGCACCATGTCCGGAGGTCGTTCACGTCGCCAGGCTGCGCGGGGACGCCGGACACGGTTCGGGAGGCATTAGCGAGGGTATGTGTTCAGAGGGGAGCGGACTCTTGAGGTCCACGGAGGGGCGCAGCGGCGAAGGGGGCTGAAGCAACCTGCGTGGGGTAGTAGTAGCCATCCAGGTTCAGAATACCCAGCGTGCGCAGCGGCGGCGTTGCCGGCGGGGGGAGCTCGGCCAGCGAGGCAAAGCTGAGCTGGCGACGCGGGTCGGAGGAGCCGTCGGCGCCGAGCGCGCAGAGGGACAGCATATGTGCAGCGAGAGGATGCAGGGTCCGCGTTCGGAGCGCCCGCCGCCGTTTTATTTGGGCACGTATGGTGTCGCCTTCGATCGCCGTTGGGACTGCCGCTAGATTCCGCGCCATAACAACTGTCTATGCGCGCGCTCCGCCCCCGGCCGCTGCCGCCGCGAATGCGCGCGGCGGCCGTCGACAAGTCGGGAACGGCTCTACCCGCAACTTTATCGCTAACACGCGCGCACCGCCGAGCCTGCGGCGGGCGCGCTGCAGCCGCACGTCTACCTTCGTCATAGTGCCACGACGTGCGGCCTAGAATTAGCACACGTGCCTCTGTTCGCAAACACTCACACATTGAATTGTCACCGCCAGTGAGTGCGAGATAGGGATAGCCGCTGGCGGCTAGCCCGTGAGGAGGGCGACCATAGACACCTCACTGACCCCACACACGGTCTCGTCCGTGCCTCGCCGGCCGGCGAGATTGCTAGAGGTAGAGCAAGCCTGCTCTAGCCTCGCACGTCACTTCCTGTCGTCTGTTGTTTGTTGTGCCCTTGTTTGTTCCCTTGGCACCTTGGAGTGCTGGGGGGGCGACAGGAGGGGCGTGGCCCTGGAGTGATGTGTACGCCTACTCAGGGTGTGTGGCAGCCCGCTGGCTGTGTGTCTTGTGAGCTTGTTTGTGTCTGTGTGTCGCTCGTGCGTGTCGTCATCATCTGTCTTGCGTCCACCCATACCGCGTTGGTGTCCAGTCCGAGCCTGACTGTTCTTCACCTTCCTACCTACCTACCTACCGCCGTGTGTGCGCGTGCGCTTGTTGGATTAATGCGGCTGGTGTCGCCTTCGATCGCCGCGTATCCTAGTGAGCCGGAAGTCTGGTGGCACTTTCACGCTCAATCGCCAGCGACCCCCACCTCCCTCGAGTTGGCAGCTTGAATCTGATTTCGCTGGATTGACCCAAGTGTTGCGATTTGTTTTAGGTATGTTGTTTGCGCCATAAAAAGAGTAGGAGCTTGGGGTCACCGCGCCGCGACGAGGTCCGACGCTCGCCCGCAGCCGCCCGACTCTGTCTTCGCCCCGACCGCCCCGCCGGGCCGCCGCGAGAGTCGAGTGCAGTCATCTCGAACACGGAAACATGCGCCAGCCCACCTCCACGTCTCGCAGAACTGCACTCGCATCCGCGCTCTGTGGGGCGCTTCTGTCCGCGCCGCAAGCCGCCATCACTGGGCCCGTGTCCGCCGCCGAGCAGCTTCCTGCCGCCAGCCTTGCGGCGGAGCTTCTCGCGCTCATCCCGAGCATGGAGTTCGGCGCTCCGGCCACCAACGCGACCGTGCCGCCGGCGCTTGCCAGAAAGATCGAGGCGCGTGCCGCGGCCGTCGAGCGGCAGGCCGCCCGCGACAACGCAAAGGACCCGCGGCTCTCGGACTCGTGGAGGCTGGTATACTCCAATGGACGCGAGATCACGAACCTTGCGACTGGTTTGCCACTGGGCTTTGTGCTCGGGAAGACCTATCAGCCAGTTGACGTGCAGACCGGAAGGTTCGAGAACCAAGGCCTCGTCGAGCACAGGCTCGGGCTGGCGCGCGCCTCAACACTCGTTATCGGCGACGTGCGGCTCGCGCCGCCCGGCACGCTCAACGCGGCGGGAACGCGCAACGAGCGCGGCAACCGGGTCGATGTCGACTTTCGACGCCTTACCTTTGGGCTCGACGCCGTCCTCGGGAAGCCGCTCGAGACGCCTTTGCGCAAGGTGGTCGTCACCCGACAGAACCCGGACGCAGCGCAGCCGGCCAACGACGTGACCTACCTGGACGCCACCTGCCGCATCACTCGCGGCGGTGACGATGCGCTCTTCATCTTTGTCCGCGAGCGCGGCAACAGGCCGATGCTCAGCCTCGAGGAGCGCGAGGCGCTCTTTGCCGAGGGCGGCGCAGCCATCACGACGGGCAGTGGCGACGCGGATCTGCAAAAGGGCGCGCCGCCCGAGCTCAAGGCGCTCCTGAGGGAGGAGCGGCGCGACCGCGTCGAGCCGATTGCGTCGAGTCGTGTTTTGAGGTAGAGAGGAGACTAGGTCCAGCGCCCTGGGTGGCGCAGGTTGTGACATTTGGCGATTCCGCGACTTACTGGGCCCCTGAGCCGCTACCCGTGTGCGATTTTTTGTGGCCCGGACATGATACTGATAGTAAACGGGTAGAACCAGCCAAACACAGGCTACAGCCCCACACACGCGCCCGCCATAGCTCCTGGAGAGCATGCGCGAGTGACGCGCTGCAAGCCGCGAGAGTGGCATCAGAGGCAGGAACGACGTGCTCTTGCTGCACCTCGCAGCTGCACCAAGTGTGCTCGCAGTGTATGCCACGGCCACTGCCTGCGGCATTGCTCTCGTGCAGCTAGGCGACGCAGGTCCATCAGCAGGGCTCATCCAATGCGAGCGCACATTGTGCGTAGCCGCAGGCAGGTGGCAGTGCACGGCCGTACACCGGCTGTGGCGGCTCGAATGCCCCCGGCAGTGCTGCTAGTCATCAACTTGCGTATTAGGGCCGCAGCAGACTGCTGCTGTGGCAGCAGCAGCAGCCTGCTGCTGCCTGATTCAGTCAAGCCAGCGGTGCAGCGAGGCGTGCAGAATTCGCGCGGTTTGGTACCTCCTGAGGCTGAGCGCGTTCAGACTCGGTGACCGGAGTTGGATGGTCCGATGGAGCTCGGCGAGCTCCATCGGACCATCCATGGCCGGACGGCGGAGCGTGAGGTGGCGAGCGGAGAGATGTACCGCAAGACCAAAAAAACACGGATCTGACTGAAAACGGACACAGAACTGATTTTGGCCCATGCGCGTGCTCTTCCTCTTGCTCGCCGCGCGCTCGGGAGCCGGAGTGGCGGGGTCGGAGCTGCTGCAACGGCGCGCGTGGCCGCGAGGGGTGGCGCTGGGGCTCTCCAGAGAACGAGGCCACGGCGCGGCGCTCGCGGCGGCGCACGGGGCAGCTTTGAGCAGTGCAGCGCCTCAACAGCAGCTTCAAGCAGGGCAGCGCAACGCCAGCTACCTCTCCAGAGCTGCGCGGCGGCTGGCGGGCCTGTGGGAAAGTGCCGGGCCGCGTGCTCGGAACGCGCACTCGGCTCGCTTGCCGGTGGCCGAGTCAGTCTGGATGGCGAGAAGCGCCAAGGCCTTCCCTGCATTCTGGGCGCTACCCAGCAGTGCGCAGTACTCTCGCTGCACCGACGGGCGGCCTCGATGCGGATTGCCGCGAGTGGCGTGGTGGCCTCCAGTGGTGCGGTCGTTGGTCAACACCGCGGCGCGCGCGCGCCGCGGGTGCTGCACAACAAGCGGAGTGCATGGGCGGGCGCTCTATCGCTCTCCGGCGCCCAACTTTGACTATCGATTACCGCCGGTTATTATAACCGGTGGGAGATCGTTCCTGCAGACGGAGGGATTCAACGCGGCGATAACTGCCCGAGACGTCCCTAACCTTTATTTATTTCTGCCCTGCTTCAGGAACCGGGGGCCGTCTTCCTCAACCAACCAAACCTCATTACCGACTGCCGGTCGTTGGGGACACGTGACTCCTGCAAAGGGCAGTGTCTCCACCCGGGAGTCGGACATTCCAAACCCCCCCCTGCCTCCTCTCTCTCCCCCCCCCATCCCAGCCCTCTTTCTCTCTCCTCCTCTTTCTCTCTCTCCTTCTCCCTCATTCCCCCCCCCTCCCCCCTCCCCATCTCTGCCGCCCCCGTGCCAACCCCCGCCGCCGCCTCGCCTGCCTCCACCTCCTCCGCCACCCCATCTCCCGCTCCCCCCCCCGCCGCCGTTACCCCCCCCACCCCCTCCTTCGCCGTTACCGCCGCTACCTCATCCGTGGCCGCCGACACCAACCCCCCCGCCTCCTCCGCCGCCTCCCTCTCCACAGCCGTCGCCGCCACCTTCACCATCACCCTCGCCCCCCTCTCCTCCACCTCCTCCGTTGTCGCCGCCTCTGCAACCCCCTCCCTGGCCACCTCCACCAAGACCGCCCGCCCATCGACCCTCCCCCC